TGCGTCTGCCTTCGCTGAGATCGCTGGCTTTGCTGCTACGTGCCACCTTGACTATATCGCGAGTCAAAGTTCTGACACTAACTATCCTCCGTCCGTCGAGGGTGAGCTTGCCCTTGGCTGTGATGCCTTTGAGTACAGGCAGTTTGAGCTGGAGTGCCTTGCGGCTGCTATACCTCATCTTGCTGCCATGCTGCTTGACCCTGAGGGAGTCGCGGATGCATTGGACATGCCGACCCCGCACTCTTACACAAAGGCAATCACAAGTCCTTACTCCTCTCAGTGGAAGACAGCTATGGACGTAGAGATGGCATTTTGGAAGTCCACAGGCACATATGTCAACACATTCCCCCTTTCTGGGGCGAACATAGTCGATGGCATGTGGATTTTCAGGGTGAAGCGTTCGTCGGGTTCCCCAACTGTCTTCAAGGCGTGTTATGTTGTACGAAGCTTCAGTCAGCGCCAGGGGGTCGACTTTTTCCAGACCTTCTCTCCCAACCCAAAGATGACCACTCTTCGGTTGTTACTACTGCAGCACAGTGTGACTATGAGCTGCACTTGCTCGACATCTCCACAACTTTCCTGCAGGGCGGCCTCCACAAATTAATCTGGTTGTGCCTTCCACCTGGCTTCATTGGGTCATTTCCCGAGAGTACCCAGTGGAGTCCCTGGCGGTCGATCTACGGTCTCGGTCAGGCACCCTGCAAGTGGCACGTCACACTGAGGACAACAGTTCCATATCTTGGTTTCGCTCCTTCGACTGCTGACCCGTCGTTGTTTCTGCGCACCGACCCTTCTCTGCTGCCATTCTACATCATTGTGTATGTCGACGACCTGGTCTTTCCGACTGCTGACAGTGAGGCACTAGCCTGTGTGAAGGCAGAGCTACAGAAGAGACACACCTGCACTGACATGGGTGAGCTGCGGAGCTATCTTGGCTTGCAGATCACCTGGGACATAGCAGCGCGCACCATCACTCTGACTCAATCACACATGGTGCACCAGGTCCTTCATTGCTTCCACTTTCAGTTCTCCTCGCCACAGCCCACTCCTCTGCCTACGAGCTACTTGCTCTCAGCTCCGCCCTTGGACGAGTCGATAGAGCCTAGTGGTCCATGTCTAAAGCTTGTAGGTTGCCTCATGTACCTGATGCCGTTCACTCGACCTGATCTCACATACCCTCTCAGCATCCTAGCGCGCTATGTTGCGCCCGAGAGACACCGCCCTGAGCACTGGCGGGCTGCTACGAGGTTCTGTGCTACTTGGCCAGTATATCAGGCATGGGGCTTTTGCTTGGGTGACAGGGCCGAATTGTGCACTCAGACGCTTCGTGGGCCGACGATTAGGCGACTTCCTGGTCTACATATGGTTTAACTTTCAGTCTTGGCGCTGCCTCTATCTCGTGGAGGTCGCTTGCTCGTTTTCTGTGCTTAGCTCTAGGTGTGAGCCCAAGACCTACGCTAGGGCTATGGCTGTGCAGGAGTTACGCTGGCTGGCCTACTTGCTCACCGACTTGGGTGAGCGGCCTAGTTCTCCAACGGTTCTGTACGTTGACAACAAGGCCATGATTTCCTAGTGTTGGGAGGAGAGACTGGAGCACAGAACAAAAAGCATTGCTCTTCGCTACTTTCTCGTGCAAGAATTGCGGCGGCGTGATCAGCTTTGCCTTGCTTACGTGGCCACAAAGGCCACCAGTGCTAATATTTTCGCCACGGCCCTTGGATCTAGTGATCATCAGCGTTTCTGCACTGCTCTAGGCCTTGTGCCTACTCTGCCTCACTTGCTTACCTCTTGAGCTTGATAAAACTGCATGTGTACACTTTCCATGTTGTGATCAGTGTATTGCTATAGTTATTATAACACTGCATTTGAACAGGCCTTGTGGTTGCTTGCTTGTGCTCGGACCGTGTGGTAATATTGAGATCCACTCTTTCTTTTCTTTGTTGCTTCTCTTGACTGGTCTTGAGATCCACCTGCGTTTCTTACTTTGTCTTGTTGTCCCTCACTTAGCATGTGGGGTTGTGTCAAATTATATGCATCTATATGTTCTAAGCTATAATGAGGTTAGCTGTAGGGAGTACAACTTCGTTTGGATCTGTATTTGTACCTCCCTCTTGCCTTAGTTGATTATTCAACTGCTCTCAAGTTTCTAACAAGTCGTTCCTCGCTCCAGCTGCTTCTTGCTGCAGCTGTTACTTGTTCTAGCCATGTTTACCTCAAGCCACTCCTCGCTCCAGCCACTCCTAGCGTTAGCCGTTCCTTGCTCTTGCCGTTTCTAGCTCCTGCCGCTCTTATGCCCAACTGGCTTGTGCCATGGCGTACGCTAGAGTTCTACAGCAGCAGGGGCAGCCACAACAGCAGTAGTCCCAGCAGTGGGGGCCTGGTGGTCCAAGGGGCGTCAGCCCTAGCAGCGGCCCAGCCAGCTGGGGTGTTTGCCGTGGTGGTCGCGACGTCGGCCCCTGCTAGTACCGGATCCTGATTGGCCTAGTGCTGGCAGTACCTGCTGGCATCCTGACCACTCCGTGTCCTGCTACTTCAGACGCCTTGATGACCTTTATCGTGAGTGTTTTTGGCTTGACTCGATTCACTTTTCCTGGCTTGTTCTGCTTCGTCGTGATTGTCTTGTGTTTGATGTATCCATAAATGATATTCACCCTTTTGTGTATACACTTGCAACACTGTCAAATTTGTTTGCTTGTGTGTACCTAGCTTGGAACGTTTGCTTGTTGCTATTGTAGGTGCTTGCGTTTCTAGTATAGGTGCTTGTGTAGTTACTCGACTCGTTCCTTCACTCTCAATTTCCGCGCGTACCAGTTCTTCTTCCGCAACTATACCATTTTCATGCCACTTCTTGCACTAGACTCAGTAGCTTTGGTTAATCCCTCTTATGGACCAGCCACCGCTCGCAATTCTACCACGCTCCCGTGCCGGGCCGTCCCTTCTGGTTCCCTCGCTGGTCTCCATATCCCCTGGTTCTATTGGACGCTACCCCTCCTCCCTCGATAGCACATCAAGTGTCATCTCCTTCACCACGGTCCCCCATGCCATCTTCATAGTCGCCGCAGCAGCCTTCGGCGTTGTAGCTGGAGGTGTTGGAATTGGATGTGCTCGTTCCGAGAAATCTCGTGTTCGAGGTACAGGAGTAGGAGGTGCTGGCACTGGAGGTGATGGAGCTGGAGGTGCTGAAGTTGGAGGTGCTGGAGTTGGATTTGCTGGAGTCGGAGGTGCTGGTTCTAGGGGTGCTGGAGCTGGAGGTGTTGGTATTGGAGGTGGTTGTTGTGGGGGTGCTGGAGTTGGAGGTGCTGGTTTTGAAAAACTGGTTTTGAGGGTGTCGGAGCTGCAGACGTTGATGCTACGATGCCTGCTCCACCTGGCCACTGTTGCATAACGAGGTTTCAGCATTAGCGGCAGCATGAGCAGGAGCAGGAGCAGCAGCAGCAGTAGCAGTGGCGGCGGCAGCTGCAGTGGTCGTAGACACGGTAGCACTACAGTGGTCGTCGCCTCCATTGAGTGGTCTTTTGACCTTTAGTCTACCTTCCTCTCCTCCTTACCGCTCACGGTCTCCTTGCTTTACGGTCCTATGTTTCCTCTTTCGGACGTGTCCCCGGCCCTCACTGCTCCTCAGTCATGGTTGCTTTTATTTCTTTTTTGTCTAGTCCCCTTGGACGGTTTGTTGTTCCTTTGGTGCTCGTCCTTCATCTCCCATTCAAGACCTCCATTCTGTTTTACTTTGTCCTTGCCCTTCCCGTTCCTCGCCTCCTTCTGTCCTACCGCTGCCTCCTTTGTCATCTCTTATTGTTTCTTCGTTGCCTCTCACTGACTAATACCGTACTATTCGTGTTTTTTTCCCATGTTCTCTCCTCTCCTGTCACAGACCCTACTGCCTCTCCGTCCTCTAGTTCGGCTCTTGTTGCCGCAGTCACTGACTTTGCCGCCACCCACAGCCTTGACAACGCCACCCGCTTGGTGCTTGAGTTTGCCCTTGGCCATGATGTCGTAGAGGCCATGCAGTTTGAGATTTCTTTCCTTACTGCCGCTTCTCCCCATCTCTGTGTCATGTTGCTAGCTTTTAAGAGTGCCCATGACGCCCTTGACATCCTGACTTGCACTAGTAATAAGGCTATCTCGAGACAGTGGGCCTCTCAGCGGATATCAGTCATGGACGCAGAGATGGCATCTTGGGGTTCTATAGGCACCTCCTAGGGCGAAAGTACTTGATGGCATGCGGATATTCAAGGCGAAGCGGCCACCTAGATCGCAACCCGTCTTCAAGGCGCATGGCAAGAGGCTTTAGTGAGCTAGAGGGGGTAAACTTTTTTCAGATCTTCTCCCCCACCCTGAAGATGACCACTCTTTAGGTAGTACCACACATAGAAGTAGCGAGACCAGGAGTTTCACTCACTCGACTTCTCCACCGCCTTTCCAGGGGGCAGCCTACACGAGGAGATCTAGTTGCATCGTTCCCCGGTATTCACTTAAACTTGTCTGAGACAGGGACATAGTGGAGCCTGAGACGACTATTCTACGGTCTCCGATCCACCTCATGTATGGCATGACACTCTTCGATCCACTCTTGTTTCTCTTGGGTTCAGTCCTTCGTCCGCCGACCCGTCATTGTTCGTTCGTTCTGGCCCCACTCCTTTCTTCGTCCTTGTCTAAGTCGACGACTTTGTCCTCGCTATAGCAAACATGGCTGCTCTTGCTTCAGTGTAATCCGAACTGCAAAAAATACTCATGTGCACTGACCTTGGTGAACTGCGTATCTGCCTTGGCTTGTAGATCATTGTGGACGGAGCCGCTCGCACCATCACTCTGACTTAGTCATGCGTGGTGCAGCAGGTTCTTTATGGTTCGAGCTTCAGTTTCTCACCACACATCTCACTCCTCTTGCTATTGACCATAGACTCACTCCTCTTGTTCCCGACGATCTTGTTGAGCCTAGTGGTCATTACGCAGAGCTTGTGGGTCGCCCTTTTTCCCACTGCGCACGAACCTCTTCTTATTCACCCCCGCATGGTCCGTGTACACGCCCCCTTGCCGAACCACCCCGCCCCCCTGCTCTTCCCCATCCCCGCCCCCCGCGCCACTCCTTCCGCCACTGCCATCTCTCCTCCCCGCAGCGCCTCCCGCGCCGTCCCCGCCAGCGCCAGCGCCCTCGCCCACAAAGTCCCCCGCGTGAGCGCATTCGCATGCGCGCGCGCGGGGGCGTGCGGGCCAGCCACGTCCTCCAGATCAACCAACCCCTCCGCGCGCCCCTCCCCTTCCCCCTCCTCCTCCTCGCTCTCCCCTTTATACTCCTCGTATCCCTCCTCTTCTTCTTCCTCCTCCTCTACCTCCTCTTCCTCGTCCTCCTCCTGCCCTCCCGACGCCCTCAAAGTCGCGCCATTCCCGGACCCGCCCTTCGCGGCAGCCAACGCGGACTTGACTGCGCTGACCCATTCGTGGAACGTGCTGTCCACGTCACCCCCCTCCGCCTCGTCGTACTCTCTCATGTGTGCAAGCCTCCGCACCCCCAGCGCCACCAGATCCTCGTCCGCTGCACGCGCCACCGTGTTGAAATACCGCCCGTCGTTGCAACCGCCCCCGGCGCTGCACTCACAAACCTCCACCGCTCCCGCTCCGCCTGCGGACCCCCTCATTATCTTCCCCTGCACTCCTCTCCTCTTTACAACACGTAGCTCCCCCTTCCCCGCATCGCCCGCTCTCACTCCCACCATCGCAAGAAAATCCGGCATCCGCGCTAGACGCACAACACCCCACGCGCTCCAGCTTCTCCCCTTCCCCTCCCCCCGCCTCCTCCGCCTCGTCGTACGCGGAGCTCCCTAGCCCGAAGAGGACGAAGAGCAGTGGCGCGAGGAGCGTGGCGTCGACACTGAAGCCGGAGGCGCTCTTGTGCAGCCAGCGCAGGAAGAAGGCAGCGTGGTCCGGCGGCGAGCCGTGCAGCCACGTGGACGCAACGAGCAGCAGCACGGGCTCGTACAACACGGGGTCTTGCAGCTGCGGACGCGGGGGGAGGGGGAGGGGGAAGGGGGGCGGAGAGGCGGAAGGAGGAAGGAGGGAAAATGGAGAGGGGATGGGAGAGGGAGGGAGGAGGGGATGGGGTGGTGGGAGAAGAGGGACAGCAGGGAGGAAGGGGGAAAGGGGGAAGAGGTAAGGGTGGGTTTGGAAGTGATCGACACGGGATGGAGGATAGAGTGGGGGTGGGGGACACGTGCGAGAGAGGCGGAAAACGCGGGAGAGGGAGGGGAAAGCGGGAGAGGCGGGATGCGGGCATACCTAGACGCCGTCGCGGGAGAGCTCGTTTACCAGCGCACCCGCCAGCCGGCGCACCGTGCTTGTCTGCCTGCAGTACACCACCAGCACGCCGCCGCTCTTTGCGGGCGACACTTCGCCAACACTTGGTGCGTCGATTGCATTTTCGTCGACGCGCTTGTTAGAATCTAGCCTAGATTAATAGCCATAGGTGACTAGAGTAGAGAGGAGAATTGATGATCGATTAGGTAAGGGGGAGGGTAGAAGAGTGTCAAGAGAAGGGTTGTACCCTCTAGGGATAACCCCTACACAGCATACAAAGCTATAAACATATAAAATGTTTTGACAAACCCCCATATGTGAAGGAGGGGATAACCTAACCTAACAGTGGTCACAAGACCAGTCAAACAAGAGAACAAGCAAGGCAAAGCCCAGGGTGGATCTCAAGGACACCACACAGTCTGAGCACAAGCAAGCGGCCACAAGGCCAGTTCACATGCAGAGTTATAATAGCAAGGCAGTACACTGATTACAACCTAGCAAGAGTAAACAAGCAGGTATAAAGATATATTTCAGTGTACAACAAGTGCAAGTCAAGCAATCAGCAGGTGAGGCAGAGTGGGCACAAGACCAAGAGCAGTGCAGAAACACTGATGATCACCAGACCCAAGGGCCTTGTGAACACATCAGCAGTGTTGGCCCGCGAGGCCACGTAGGAAAGGCGAAGCTGACCACGCTGCTGCAGCTCTCGAGCAAGAAAGTAGCGAAGAGCAATGTGCTTCGTTATGTGCTTCATTCTCTGCTCGCGACACAAGGCAAGCATTGCCTTGTTGTTGACGTACAGAACTGGAGGAAAACGAGGCCGCTCCCCCAAGTCGGTCAGCAGGTAGGTCAGCTAGCGTAGCTCCTGTGCAGCCATGGCCATAGCGTAGATCTCGGCCTCACAGCTGGAGCCAAGCACAGAAGAAGAACGAGTGGACCTCCACGAGACAGAACCAGAGCCAAGACTGAAGGTGTAACCCTGTGACGAACGCTGAGTCACTTGGTCGTCGGCCGAAGAAGCGTCAGAGTGTCCTGTGAGTACAAATGAACCCCATCCTCTAAGCACGAGCCCCATGCCTGATGTACTGCACAAGTAACGCAGTACCCTCTTTGCAGCACGTGCACTTTTTGGTGTCAACAAGGTGTCATATAGCAAGCCAGGAGGCTGAGAGGGTACGCGAGGTCGTATGCACGTCATCAGATACATGAGGGTTTAGGGTTTAGGGCTCTGGGTACGGACCACTCGGCTCTACGGACTCGTCCGAAGGTGGAGCTGAGAGCGAGTAACCGGTAGACAGAGGAGTGGGCTGTGGCGAGGAGTTTTGGAAGCCAAAGCGCTGGAGGACCTGGTGCAACATATGTGACTGAGTCAGGGTGATGGTGCGCCGTGCTCTGTCCCGGGTGATCTGCAAGCCAAGATAGCTTCGCAGCTCACCCAGGTCAGTGCAGGTGTGTCACTCCTGTAGCTCCGCCTTCACTAGGGCCATTGCCTCTATGTCAGCAATAGCAATAACCAAGTCGTCGACATACACAAGAACGTAGAACGGCGGCAGGGTAGTGTCGGTGCGCAGAAACAGCGACGGGTCAGCAGTCGAAGGAGCAAACCCAAGAGCCGCAAGTGTCGTCGTCAGTGTGTTGTGCCAATCGCGAGGTGCCTGACATAGGCAGTACACTAGTCGCCGTAGGCTCCACTGGGTACACTCAGGAAACGACCCAGTGAAGCCAGGTGGACGGCGCAGCCAGATGGTCTTGTGAAGGCTACCCTGCAAGTAAGCTGTAGAGAAGTCGAGGGAGTGCAGCTCGTAGTCACGCTGAGCTGCAACGTGTAGCAACACCCGAAGAGTGGTCGTCTTCGGGGTGGGGGAGAAGGTCTGAAAGAAGTCGACCCCATGTTGCTGACTGAAGCCTCGAGCAACGTAACGTGCCTTGAAGGCAGGCAGAGAAACCGGCGGCCGCTTCACCCTGAAAATCCACATGCCACTGACGATGTTCGCCCCATGTGGAATAACCTCGTTGACGTAGGTGCCTATGGACTTCCAGGAAGCCATGGCGTCCATGGCTGTCTGCCACTGAGAGGAGTACTCTCCCGAGATCGCCTCTCTGTAAGAGCGCGGGGTGGGGATGTCAAGTGCATCCGTGTCTCCCTTAGGGGCAAGCACCATGGTCATGAGATAAGGTGCAGCGGCCGCAAGACACTCCAGCTCCTCCTGTCTGTCCTCAAAAACGTCACAGCCAAGGGCAACCTCACCCCTGATAGACGGAGGACAGGCAGGGATAGGGTCAGAAATAAGACTCGCAAGGTAGTCTAGGCGGTGCGCAGCAGCAAAGTCAACTAGCTCAGCGACTAAGGCAGATGCAGCAGGAGACGAGAACGTAGGGTCCATCACAACTGTAGCAAGCAAGCGAGTGACAGACGGACTGGAAGCACGAGTAAGTTCAGACGGAGGGTCAGCAACGTCAGGAAGAGAAGACGCAGGAGGTGACGGTAGGACAACACGCTGTGGAATAGAGGAAGGACGGAGTGTGTTATTGTGAGTGCCTGGGACAGTCGGAGCACGAGGACGACGCACACGACGAACACGAGTAGGAACGGAAGCTCGAGCCTCAGGCTCTTGACGCTCAAAAGTGGAAGCACGAGTCTCAGGCTCTCGACGCTCAGTCTGGGACCTTGTCATAGCAGTGTAAGGAGCAGGTGTCAGAAGTAGCAGTACAAAGTTTAGAAACAGAAAGAGGAGGGTTTCACTAGCAGTAGTTGGGATACATATAGCAAACCCTAACTGGGTTGTACTCGCTATAGAGCACCCCACTACAGGCTAGATAATAACATTCTGACACACCCCCATAGCCAAAGTGGGGTGTAATCAGTACAATGAGCAGGCATAGCAGTAGTTCACAATTACAAGCAAAGCTAGAGGCTATCACAGAGGGCAAGTGAGGAGGAGGAGTGACTGTGAGAGGAGAGTAGACTGGAGGCGACGGCTGAAGCTGCACACACGGGCAACAGAAGCGGCTGGCACAGTGGCTACCGGAGCAAGGGCCCCGGACTACTGGAGTAACAGACTCCGCGGCTACGACGAGCGGCAGGAGCAACGGACCCACGGGCGACTGGCGCAGCAGGCTCACTGGGCTACCGAGAGCAAGGGCTCCGGACTACTGGCGCTGCTGGCGACACGACGACGACCTCCGCGCAACCTCCCCCAACTGTCCCACACCCTGTTCACACACCCCCTGCAGAAACCCTAGCTCCACTTCCACGTCACCCCCACAGCTCCACTCCCCGCGGCTCCCACACCTCCACCCCCCTCAGCAGCAGCTGCAGCAGTGGGAGACGAACAAGGAGGAGGGGAACCCACACCGCGCACCCCCATGCTTGCCACCCCACACCCCCCACCACCGCGGAACGCACGGCGGCACGAGAGGAATGGGCAGCACGGGGGGGGGGGGGGGGGGGGGGGGGGGGAGGGGGGGGACGGGACAGGAGGGGCCGCGAGCTCCTCCCCAGGGCGCCAAGACGGACGGGCGGGGGGGGGCGTGCGCAGCTCCCCAGGACGCCGCGACGGACGGGCGGGGGGGCGCGCGCGGCTCCCCAAGGCCGCGCGGCGGGCAGACAGGCCGCGCGCGGCCTGCAGACCCGCGCGCGACCTGCAGGGCGACGCGACGGGAAGGGCGGGGGCCGCGCGCTGCTCCCCAAGGCCGCGCGACGGGCAGACGAGCCGCACGCGCCCTGCAGACCCGCGCGCGGCCTGCAGGGCGACGCGACGGGAAGGGCGGGGTGGTGCGCGCGGGTCCCCTACGGCAGAAAACCGCCGCGCGCCTCGGGGCGCACGGCGGGCAGAAACTCGCCGCGCGCCCCGAGCGCACGGCAGGAGGAAGACGGCGCGCGCCCGAGGCGCGCGAGAAGCAGAACAGCAGCGCAAGCAGTTAGGTGGTGGGCCCACCCACAGGATCGACCCAAGGGGGTCGACCTGCTCTGAAACCATGTCAGAAGTAGCAGTACAAAGTTTAGAAACAGAAAGAGGAGGGTTTCACTAGCAGTAGTTGGGATACATATAGCAAACCCTAACTGGGTTGTACTCGCTATAGAGCACCCCACTACAGGCTAGATAATAACATTCTGACAGCAGGAGCAGGCAGTGGGGAGTGAGGCAGTAGCTATGACGGAGACTGGTCAGCCGGTGGGAAAAGTAACGGAGGAGTAGTACCAGCGACTGGGAACTCAATAGGAGTTGGCGGAAGACCGAGAAGGTGGCAAAGGTCCAGCACCTCCAGCACCAGCAGCACCTCCAGCACTAGCAGCTCCACCAGCAGCACCTCCAGCACTAGCAGCTCCACCACCTCTAGCACCTCCAGCACCTCCAGCACTAGCAGCTCCAGCACCTCCAGCATCTCCAGCACCAGCAGCACCTCCAGCATTAGCAGCTCTCGTACCTCCAGCACCAGCAGCACCTCTAGTACATCCAGCAGGGTCACCCACAGCTCCACCGCCACTAGGACTCGCAGCACCCCCAAAGTCAGTACCCCCAGTCGTAGAACCCCCAGAACCAGCACCCCCATTCGCAGCACCCCCAGAACCAGCACCCCCAGTCGCAGCACCCCCAAAACCCTCACCCTCTGTCTCAGCACCCCCATGCTCAGCAGTAGCAGTCTCAGCGGCAGAGTCTACAGCAGCAGGCTGTGGAGGTTGCGAAGACAGCCAAGTCGGAAAACCAGGGGGGGTCTCCAAGCGTGGAGAGTGGTGAGTGGCCGCCGTGTCGTCAGCGGCGGGGTCACCCCCCTCAGCTGGGCCAGAGGAGTTACAAGAGATCTCCAGAGGCTCAACCAAGGGGAGTGGGTCTACCTGAGACACACTTGAAGGAGCAGGACCCTGTGGGGGGAGGGGGTTTACCGGGGGGGGGACTGGTACCAGGAAGAGAGGCGGTAGGGGGACCGGGTGGGACGCATGAGGGTGTAGTCTGTAGAAACAGACAGACTTGTCAAAGGTGACGTCCTGGGAGGAGAAGACTCGACTCGAGCGCAGGTAGTAGAACTGCCACGGCGGGGCGTCGGTGGGGAAGCCAAGAAAGACGCGGCGGAGAGTGCGAGAGGAGAGCTTGCTCGCTTTGGCATCGCGAACAAGGGAGAGCGCGCCCCAGACCCGAAACACCGACGCATCGCCAACCTTCCCCGTCCACCGGAGTGTGGGCGAGGTCTCTGGCTCATAGATACGGGGCCAGAGGTTGAGCTGATGCGCAGCGTATTGGACCGCAAACGGCCTCAGAAAATGAGGAGCAATCGCATGGATCATGGAGGTACGAGCAACCTCCATGACCAAGCCAATTCGATGCTCAGCAATCCCATTCTGCTGAGGAGAGGTCGGAAGCGAGAACGCCTGGCGGATGCCCTTCGTCTCGACAGAACTCCTCGAGAAGGCCAAAAGAGAACTCACCACCCGTGTCAGAGTGCAGACGCAGGACTGGCAAGTCCCGACGAAACCGCTCGCGCAGCTGGTGACGAGTAGCACGGATCCAGGGGATCAAAACACCACTGACGTCCGCCTTGCGGTGCAAGGGGAAGACAATGGTATAGCGTGTGTAGTTGTCAACCACCAGCAGGAAGTAGCGCTCCTGGTCCGTTCCAGTAACAGGGGCCAGGCCCCACACGACCATGTGGAGAGCCTGCAGAGGACTAGTGGTCGGAGGAAACACGGAGGAGTGAGGAGCGGCACGCTGCCGCCCCTCGACGCAGGGAAGGCACGGCGGTGCAGGCGAGCGCGGGAGGGAGAGCAGGGACCTGGGAAGGCCAAAAACAAGGAGACGGGAGTGCGTGCTGCGGAGATGCAACACCGAGGGGTGACCGAGACGGTGGTGCTAGAGGAGAGTCTAGTGGGAGAGTACCTGACACAAGCAAGACGCTGCAAGCTCACCAGACGCAGACACCTGACTGGACGCAGCCAACTGACCTGACTCAGCCACCTTTGCAGACGCAATGGTCAGTGTGTATAGACTGGACCCAGGCCGTCTGGTGAACGTAGCAAGGTGACGGCCAGTCCTGGAGCACGTACAGATCGCCACACGCTGCCCTCCAGGAGTAAAGGTATCAACCCAGACGTCCTGAATGGCAGCGGTGCTCACCAAGTTCGTAGAGAACGTGGGGAGGTGGAGACCTGACAGAGCACCAGAGGGGACTGCTAGACACGGGAGGACAGTGGAGGCTCGTGTGACTACTGGGCCCCCAGTGGGGTCAGCCAATGATACTGGTACCGGTGCAGCTAGTGGTGTGAGTGTGGTGCATTCACGAAAGAAACAACGAGACGCGCCTGAGTCAAGTGTGAAAGTGTGCAGGGCCTCAGCGGAGGCAGCAGACTCACTAGCAGCAGACTCACTAGCACCTGTGACAGCAGATGCACTAGCACCTAGAGTTGCAGCAGACTCACTAGTAGCAGACTCACTAGCACCTGTGACAGCAGACGCACTAGCACCTAGAGCTGCAGCAGACTCACTAGCACCAGGAGAAGTAGCATCGACACCAGCATCACCAGGTACATACGAGTAACACGCACCCTCATCACTAAGCTCAGTCACATACATAGCATAGATAGCCTTGTTGATCTGAACACAGTCAAGAGCATAAACATCTACTCCCATCCCCTCTAGTTTCAGCCAGTTGGGGGCTGGCATCTCATCACTGTACTCATCCACCCAACCATCCTCAAGACGGCCGAAGCAGCGATACTCAGTGTGCGCCTTCTTGCAAGTCTGACTCTTCAGCTTCCCTGTGCGCCTGACGTACGGGCAGCGACCAGAGCCCCCAGAAGAACCACACTGGACAACCCACTCACGAAGCTGCTGAGGGGTGGGGTTGTCCGGGAGGCGCGGCAACTGCTGTCCACTCCCAAAGCCTTCACCGCCACGTGCGGAAGCGCCACGGCCTCCAACCTTGCTAGCTCCACCCCGACCTCCTCCACCGCCTCTGCTGCCTCCACCACCCCAGCCGCCTCCACCACCCCCGCTGCCTCCACCACCCCCGCCGCCTCCACCACCCCGTCCGCCTCCACTGCCTCCACCCCCAGAGCCACCCCCACCACCTCCACCCCCGCCACCACCACCCCCGCCACCTCCACCGCTGTTGCCACCCCCACCACCCATACCCCCTTTGCCCTTGCTGTTGTTGCGCCTCCCGCTAGGAGCAGACGCAGCGCCAACTTCCTCAGCACCAAGGAGGTTGACAGCAGCAGCAGTAGCAACTAAGGGGAGGAGAGGGGAGGGAGCACACCCTTCAAAGGAGGGGGGGCGGGGAGTACCGGGAGAGGAAGCGACAGCGTTGGTACTGGTCTCAGCCTTAAGAAGAGACTTCTCCAGCGAGGCAAGTGTGAGCTCAGTGGGGTCGAGGGCAAGAAAGTGGTCCCTGACAGTGCGAAGGGAGTCAGAAAGGCAAGTGACGAGGAAGTACAGGGTGATATACAGTTGGGGGGGGGGTTTGCAGCGAGGAAGGTCAGCTTGAGAGCGGCGCGGTAGCGAGTCTCACTAGAACAAAGGTGAGTCATGAGGTCAGAAACAGTGTGGAAATCAGCTAGCTCAGGGAAGAGGTATGGCAGCATGAGATGGCCTAGGGCAGCAGTAGCGGGGGAGGAGTAACGAGCGACAACAGCGTCATAGAGGGCTTTCGCTGTCTTCTGCTGGCTAAAGTGCGCCTTCTCTGCAACTGGAAGGTGGTTGCGAACAGCAAGGCGGGCAGTGGCATCACGCATGGGCCACTTCGAATTATCTGCGTGCGCTGTGTCAGCTGGGGCTAGGAGGGATCCCTCTGTGTGGGCGAACAAGGACACGCCATCCCTAGACTCGCTCTGTAGGTACAGCTAGAGATCATCAAGCCACACGTCAAAACTAATCGCACGACCCTCCGCATCGAAGCTAAGGACTGAGAAAGTAGCCATAGGAGCAGTAGCAGTAGTAGCAGCAGTAGTAGCGGCTGCAGTAGAAGTAGCAGTAGCAGTAGCAGCAGCACGATAGTGCGGCTCAATAGGGGCACAGGAGTGCGGCTCGGCCAAGGCGGCGCGGCTTGGCAGGGCGGCGCGGCTCAGCAGGGTGGCGTGGCCTGGCAGGGCACAGCGCAGTAGCGTGTGTGGCAGCAGCAGCTCAGGCACAGTAGCAAGAACACTTGCAGCACGAGTAGCAGCAGAAGTGCGTTCAGCAACAGCAGCTGCGCTTAGCAGTAGCAGCAGCAGCGCTAAGCAGCAGTAGCAGCATCAGCGCTTAGCAATAGCAGAGCATGCAGCAAGAGGGGCCGCGCAAGTGACAGCAGCAGCAGCGCACAGCAGCAATGACGGGCCGAGCGCAGGCGGTGCGCACGGGCTGCAGATGGTGCCTGCGGAGTGCTCGCGGGCAGGGTGTGCACAGGCAGGGTGCGCGCATTAGCTAGCAGCAGCAGCAGCAGCAGTGCGCTTAGCAGCAGCGCGTAGCAGCTGCAGTGCGCTTAAGAGCAGCGCGTAGCAGTAGCAGCGCGCTTAGCATCAGCAGTCAGGCAGGGCGCAGGCCGGGCGTAGGTTGCTGGCGGGCAGCGCGAGCAGCTCGCTAGGCAGCAGGTGTGCGGGCAGCGCGCGCAGGGCAGAGCGCGGGCCGTGCAGGTAATGCGCGGGCAGAGCAGGAAGCGTGCGGATCGAGCGCGCGCATGGCTCGAGCAGCGCGCGTGCGGGCGGCTCGGGCGGGGCACGTGCGTGCGTGCATGCGGCGCGAGCAGGGCGCTGCCGCCGCTGGCGGTAGTAGTAGCCTAGTAGGCGAGAGCGGCAGCCGCGAGCAACTCAGCCGCCGCGGCGCAGATGCTTATAGAGACAATCTGACGCGGCACGAGCGAACCTTGTGCCTCAGTCATGGTGTGACTACAACGAGGCGTGATCAACAAGGCACTTTTCCAGAAGAATTAGATCTGCCATCGAGGCGAAATAAGCTGCTGCTCTTCTGTGCCGAGGAGGAGAGGCAGTTGAAATCCGATTTGAGTAATGGAACAACGCTCTGCAATGGCCTGCCTACAGAGGGCTTAGGGGTTGGCTACAGTATGCGCTTTGACTTGGTTCAAGTTTACGCGTTTCTCGATGTCAAAGTAAAGGACTAAAATGTTTATCAAAACGTAGATGTCAACTATAATACACTTCCATCGATTTCAAGAGGCTAACCAGGAGCATATACCGTAATACCCCGTATATAAAGCCTGCCGAATTAAAGCCCCCATGGGGGCTTATGTGGGTCGAGGGGTTTATTGGGGGAACGCGAAATACTATACCCCCTTTTTTGGAGTTCCAGGAGAGCACCCCCCCTCCCTCAATGTTTCTGCCCTTTCATTCGAGAACATTAGGAAAAGCCTACGCGAGAGATGACAAGTTCAGACTTTCGCAGGTTTTCAAGGGCGAAATTTCCAAATCTCACGTGAGAGATGACAATTTCTTACTACCGTCATCGCCCGGATATAAGACATATATGTCTTATCTCGTACACGGGCAAAAATGCTTGAGTTATCTTGTAAACGGGATGGTTTAGGGTGTCTTATAAGTCTTATAAATGGAAACTTTTTAAACTACTTAGAAATATTTTCCATACTTCTTTAAAAAGAGTTTCTCATAATGCGTGTGGATGTTGCGAAGGTGCCACTTCGATAACCTCTGCCCGAGACGCCACGTTATGGAGAACACCTGCAGGGGCAAATTTGGTAGGTCCTGGGTCAGCGCGTGGAAGAATTCGCGCTTCGCAAGGGTAAAAAAGTACGCGGTACTTCAACTTTCGCTATAATTTATTGAAGTTTCGATTATAAGACATATATGTCTTATCTCATACACACAAATAGGTGTCTTATAATGAGGCTAGCCTGTTTATAAGAGACACCCGTACAGTAGACAACCCCTGTCTACTATTCAACACTGTCTTATATCCGGGTGATGACGGTATCGAAAGTTTTCAAGGGTGAATTTTCAATGTGGCGACAAACATTGACCTCTCACAGATTGTGACACACGTGTGTCTGACACAATCGTGACTCACAATAGCGTAGCGACATCTCGATCGAATCAAGCAAAATATCGCACGTGCATCGGTCTCCCAAACTCGTTAACATGAACTCGTTTGCTACTGCATGCAAAACAGTCATTCTAGTTTTGGTCATACAATGTATCTCGCAATATAACACATGGGTGCTATACGACTTATCCTCAAATAGTGCACCCATTGCCATTTTTTCGAGAGATTTAACACAGCACCCGGGGTAGCATATACGGGGGATTACGGCAATTAAATACAGGTTTGTTTATATAACCTTAGCCACTTTCCTATTTTCCACTTGATCTGTGATGGGGCATCGCATCTCTTGCCAACTTATGGGCACCATGGGTACACCTGTGTCTCACACAGTCCAACATGGTTTGGAAAGAGCAATGCTTCCCGTCAGAGAAGGGAACCAGCACAATATGCAAAGACTGGAATAGAAAGGAGGGTGCATGCGCAAGGGAGACGCTGATAATGGAGACAGAAGAATCCCATGCGAGAGATGAGGAGCGGAGCACTAACCTGCGACCCCTTTGGCCAGTATAACCCCCAAGTCGTTCTTGGCTGTGGAGAGGAAATAGGCGCGTGAGTCTCCCAGCGAGAGCTGCCATGGCATGGAACGCACGGGACATGAGAGGACGAGAGATGAAGGAGGGTTAGGGAGCAAGAAGAGACGGTGAGGGCTAGGACAAGGGCTAGGACGAGGGCTAGGACGAGGGCTAGGACGAGGGCTAGGACGAGGGCTAGGACGAGGGCTAGGGCGAGGGCTAGGACGAGGGCTAGGACGAGGGCTGCTAAGGTTGCGCATGTGGGTTAGGGAGCAAGAAGAGACGGTGAGGGCTAGGACGAGGGCTAGGACGAGGGCTAGGACGAGGGCTAGGACGAGGGCTAGGACGAGGGCTAGGGCGAGAGCTAGGACGAGGGCTAGGACGAGGGCTGCCAAGGTTGCGCATGTGGGTGAGAGGGGAGGCGCACCACTTGAGCTCGAATAAGGTCACCAGGGCGATACGACGCCAGCAGATCCACCTTGTCTATCTCCGTGGCTCTCACGTCCTGCTGCCTGCCGCACGCACCACCCACACCACACACACCACCCACACCACACACACCACCCACACCACCCACACCACCCACACCACCCACACCACCCACACCACCCACACCACCCACACCACACACACCACCCACACCACCCACACCACCCACACCACCCACACCACCCACACCACCCACACCACCCACACCACCCACACCACCCACACCACACACACCACCCACACCACCCACACCACCCACACCACCCACACCACCCACACCACCCACACCACCCACACCACACACCACCCACACCACCCACACCACCCACACCACCCACACCACCCACACCACCCACACCACCCACACCACCCACACCACCCACACCACCCACACCACCCACACCACCCACACCACCCACACCACCCACACCACCCACACCACCCACACCACCCACACCACCCACACCACCCACACCACCCACACCACCCACACCACCCACACCACCCACACCACCCACACCACCCACACCACCCACACCACCCACACCACCCACACCACCCACACCACCCACACCACCCACACCACCCACACCACCCACACCACCCACACCACCCACACCACCCACACCACCCACACCACCCACACCACCCACACCACCCACACCACCCACACCACCCACACCACCCACACCACCCACACCACCCACACCACCCACACCACCCACACCACCCACACCACCCACACCACCCACACCACCCACACCACCCACACCACCCACACCACCCACACCACCCACACCACCCACACCACCCACACCACCCACACCACCCACACCACCCACACCACCCACACCACCCACACCACCCACACCACCCACACCACCCACACCACCCACACCACCCACACCACCCACACCACCCACACCACCCACACCACCCACACCACCCACACCACCCACACCACCCACACCACCCACACCACCCACACCACCCACACCACCCACACCACCCACACCACCCACACCACCCACACCACCCACACCACCCACACCACCCACACCACCCACACCACCCACACCACCCACACCACCCACACCACCCACACCACCCACACCACCCACACCACCCGCACCACCCGCACCACCCGCACCACCCGCACCACCCGCACCACCCGCACCACCCGCACCACCCCCACCACCCCCACCACACACACCACCCACACCACCCACACCACCCACACCACCCACACCACCCACACCACCCACACCACCCACACCACCCACACCACCCACACCACCCACACCACCCACACCACCCACACCACCCACACCACCCACACCACACACACCACACACACCACCCACACCACCCACACCACCCACACCACCCACACCACCCACACCACCCACACCACCCACACCACCCACACCACCCACACCACCCGCACCACCCGCACCACCCGCACCACCCGCACCACCCGCACCACCCGCACCACCCGCACCACCCGCACCACCCGCACCACCCGCACCACCCGCACCACCCGCACCACCCGCACCACCCGCACCACCCGCACCACCCGCACCACCCGCACCACCCGCACCACCCGCACCACCCGCACCACCCGCACCACCCGCACCACCCGCACCACCCGCACCACCCGCACCACCCGCACCACCCGCACCACCCGCACCACCCGCACCACCCGCACCACCCGCACCACCCGCACCACCCGCACCACCCGCACCACCCGCACCACCCGCACCACCCGCACCACCCGCACCACCCGCACCACCCGCACCACCCGCACCACCCGCACCACCCGCACCACCCGCACCACCCGCACCACCCGCACCACCCGCACCACCCGCACCACCCGCACCACCCGCACCACCCGCACCACCCGCACCACCCGCACCACCCGCACCACCCGCACCACCCGCACCACCCGCACCACCCGCACCACCCGCACCACCCGCACCACCCGCACCACCCGCACCACCCGCACCACCCGCACCACCCGCACCACCCGCACCACCCGCACCACCCGCACCACCCGCACCACCCGCACCACCCGCACCACCCGCACCACCCGCACCACCCGCACCACCCGCACCACCCGCACCACCCGCACCACCCGCACCACCCACACCACCCACACCACCCACACCACCCACACCACCCACACCACCCACACCACCCACACCACCCACACCACCCACACCACCCACACCACCCACACCACCCACACCACCCACACCACCCACACCACCCACACCACCCACACCACCCACACCACCCACACCACCCACACCACCCACACCACCCACACCACCCACACCACCCACACCACCCACACCACCCACACCACCCACACCACCCACACCACCCACACCACCCACACCACCCACACCACCCACACCACCCACACCACCCACACCACCCACACCACCCACACCACCCACACCACACACACCACCCACACCACCCACACCACCCACACCACCCACACCACCCACACCACCCACACCACCCACACCACCCACACCACCCACACCACCCACACCACCCACACCACCCACACCACCCACACCACCCACACCACCCACACCACCCACACCACCCACACCACCCACACCACCCACACCACCCACACCACCCACACCACACACACCACACACACCACCCACACCACCCACACCACCCACACCACCCACACCACCCACACCACCCACACCACCCACACCACCCACACCACCCACACCACCCGCGCGACGAGCGGGGTAGCAGCGGCGCTCGGGGCAGCGCGTAAGGCAGCGCGTAGGGCAGCGCGTAAGGCAGCGCGCGGGGTAACGGAAGCGCGGGGCAGCAGGGCATGTGCGGGGAAGCGCGATCGTGCGGGGCAGGGCAACATCTAACGGTGAGCCCGGAAAAACGGTCCTAACACGGTCTAGGGTTTACATGTGAGAAACTAACTAGCAGGAATGAGTTGGATTCGGGATAGGGAGAACAAATGCCAACCGTAACTAGGTTGTACCGTATGGAACCTCACCCACTACACCTATAACCCACAACATATATGTTTGACGAGTGGACGGCACGGCGTTTGAGCGGGCAACGCGGCGTTTGAGCGGGCGGCGTGGCGTTTGAGCGAGCGGCGCTGCGTTTGAGCGGGCGACGCTGCGTTTGAGCAAGCGGCGTGGCGTTTGAGCGGGCCGCGCGGCGGTTTAGCAGGCGGCGCAGCATTTGAGCGAATGGCGCGGCGTTTGAGCGGGCGGCGCGGCGTTTGAGCGGGCGGCGCAGCGTTCGAGCGGGCGGCACGGTGTTTAAGTGGGCGGCGCTAAAGTTATATTTGATATATATCATGCTTGCTCTAGTTACTGTAGTGTTTGTGCCCCTTGTTGGTGGTGAACCACCTCTTGTGCCTCTTCTCGACTGTATCCTGTCATTATTGAATCATTCCATTCCACCCTTCCCTTGGCACAAACACACTCGACTCTCCTTGGCCAAGGCTGTCAGAATAGCACGCGTGAATGGATGCATTGAGCAGAGATGTGGGTACACATGCTAACCCTAATGTGGGTTGTACCCCTTATGGGCTACCCCACTGTAGCCTACACAAGACAAACATCAATACAGTTTGACACACCCCCATAGACAAAGTGGGGGAGAACTAGTGGTCACAAGACCAGTCAAGAAAAGCAAAGTAAGCTCAGGGTGGATCACAACGCCACCACACATTCTGAGCACAAGCAAATGGCCACAATGCCAGTTCACATGCAGAATTATATAAAAAAAAGAGCAAACAATACAGTGATCACTACCTAGCAAGAGTAAACATGCATGTATTTATATATATACATATATATCACAGTACAAGTTTAGTCATGCAGTGAGCAAGTGAGACGAAGCAGGCACAAGGCCTAGAGTAGTACAGAAACGCTGATGATCACCAGGCGGAAGTGCCTTGGTGAATATATCAGCAGTGTTGGTCCGAGTGGCCACGTAAGCAAGACGAAGCTGACCACGCTGTTGCAACTCTCGAGCAAGGAAGTAACGCAGAGCAATGTGCTTTGTTCTGTGCTCCAGTCTGTGCTTCTGACACAAGGCAATGGCGGCCTTGTTGTCTATGTACAGAACTGGAGGAGAACGAGGCCGCTCTCCCAAGTCGGCCAGCAGGTAGGTGAGCCAGCGTAACGCCTGTGCAGCCAATGGCTCCTGCGTAGATCTCAGCCTCACAACTGGAGCTGAGAACAGAAGACGAGCGGGTAGACCGCCAAGAAACAGAGCCGGAGCCAAGGCTGAACGTGTAACCGTGTGACGACCGCTGCGTAGCCAGGTCGTCAACCCAAGGTGCGTCTGAGTGTCCAGTGAGAACAACTCGACTCTGTCCTCCAAGCACGAGCCCCATGCCCGATGTACCGCACAAGTAATGCAGTACCCTCTTCGCAACATCCCAGTGCACCTTTTGGTGTCTACCGGGAGCCACGTAGCGTGCCAGGATGCTAAGAGGGTACGCAAGGACAGGTCGAGTGCAGGTCATCAGGTACATGAGGCAGCCCACAAGCTCTGCATACGGGCCACTCGGCTCTACGGACTCGTCCGAAGGTGGAGCTGAGAGCGAGTGACCAGTAGCCAGAGGAGTGGACTGTGGCGAGGACCAAGTGAAGCCGAAGCTATGAAGGACCTGCTTCACCATGTGTGACAGAGTGAGGGTGATGGTGCGCCGTGCTCTGTCCTGGGTGATCTGCAAGCCAAGATAGCTGTGCAGCTCACCCAGGCCTGTGCACGTGTGTCTCTTCTGCAGCTCCGACTTCACTGCGGAGATAACTCTAACAACGGGAGTTGGTCTATGGGCCAGGCACGTGGTGGGAGTGATCGTAGCGTTCGTTCGCTCCTTTGTTGTTTCCAAGTGCTCTCACTACTTGCTAGTTCACGGGGAAGAATTGCAAGAGTTCCACTAGTAAAAGTTCACAACAATAGTACAATGAAGTTGGCAAGGCAAGACTACATCAGAGCTAGGATGCAAGCAAGGCGCCTGCCAGCGCAGCATGGTCGACCGCGTGCCAGCACGGCTTGGTCGCCCGCGCTCCAGAAGTGCAGAGTCGCGGCTCGCCAACGCTGCAGGTCGACAGTGTGACAACAGCGCAAGTCGACGGCGTGCAAGCGTTGCTCCCACAGAACAGCATCGCACCCGCTTCGCAGGTGCTTGCAGATGATTGGCGCACCATGCCTCGTCACCTGCACAGCGCACACACACTAGATCATCCTTGTGCTGACGACTGCTTCTGATCAGCCACGTCAATCTCGGGATACCACCACCGAGGTCGTCCTCGCCAAAACCACCTGGGCGACCATCGCGTGCCTCCATAGAACCTCGTCACCCATGTAACCTGGTCGACCGGGCAACTACGTCGACCAGCTGCTCCTGTGCGTGCACGTCGACCAACCAGGTCGACGACCACTTCCAGTCGACCTCCCCAGGTCGACCACACACCTGGTCGACCAGCTCCACGTCGACCCGCACGTGTGTCAGCCGACATCACCCAGCCCGCTTTCCCAGGTCGGCGTCACCAAGGCGACGCCTCCACAGGTCGACCTCCCAAGTCGACCACCCGAAGGTGGCGCCCTCCTGAAGTCAGCGCCCATTACAGTGGTTCCCGTGCAGGTCGACCAGCCCCGTCGACCAACTCGCCCACTGCTGCAGGTCCGCTGCAACCCCCGCACCCGACCACGAAGTCGGCTCCGCCCAAGCGAGGACGGGGCCAACCACTGTCAGAGGTCCACTGGTGATCCCTGATTGATCCTAGGGAAGAGTTACAGGCTCGTTGTCTTGGGGGGTTATGGGCGCACTGACCCGCTACTTAACAAGCCATTTTATCCCAGTGGTCCAGTGGCTGGGATTCTGACATGGTATCAGAGCGAAGGTCTCAGGTTCGAATCCCAGTGTGTGCACTTCGGGCATCCCAGTGCGGGGGGGTGTCAGAGGTCCACTGGTGATCCCCGATTGATCCTAGGAAAGGGTTACAGGCTCGTTGTCCTGGGGGGTTATGGGCGCACTGGCCCGCTACTTAACAAGCCCTTTTATCCCAATGGTCTAGTGGTTGGGATTCTGACAACCACAACTTTCGTTGACACTCCCCTGCCGCGTTCACGCTTGGGCCCCCAGCCCACACGGCAGCACAGCTCGGAGAATCGCTCGTCGGCGTGCACCCCACACACAGCACGCCGGTCACCGCACCAGCCATGCAAGGGGGCATGGTACCTACTGCTGCACGTCGCTATCGCCGTCGCCCACGTCGGCCAAGCGCACCTTGCCGATTGCGACGGAGCACTGGTTGAAGGCCGGATAGTGCAGCGCCTTCGTCAGGAAGTCGGCCGGCTGCTCAGCGGTCGGAATGTACTGCAGCGAAAACTTCCCCCGCTTCACCATGTGCTGCAGCCAGGCCTGTCGCCGCCCCATGTGCTTGAGGTTGCCTGTCAACCCCATGCCCTCGGCGACCGTGATGGCCAACTTGTTGTCCACCCTCAGGACAGTCGGCTTTCCGGCGTCCAGCTGCCGGAACCCTGCCAGGAGGAAGCGAAGTCGGCGTCCCTCCTTGCCGGCTTCGACGGCTGCCACGTACTCCGACTCGGTCGACGACAGTGCCGCGCACTTGATGCGCTGGCTCGACCAGGAGACCGCGGCCCCTCCGTAGACGAACACGTAGCCACCCGTGCTCGTCCGGTTCTGCTTGTCGCCGGCGTCGTCGGCGTCAACGTAGCCGACCAGCTCCAGCAACTCTGTTCCACCGCCGAACTCCAAGGCGGTGTCACGCGTGTTGGCGAGGTAGGCGAGGCAGCGGTCGACCTCGCGCCAGTGCTGGTCGCTCCTCACCATGAGGCCGCTCCCCAGCTTGCTGCACGCGAAGGCGATGTCCGGCCTCGTCGTCGTCACCGCGAACTGCAGCAAGCCGACCTTCTGCCGGTACTCCTCCTCCTGGCATTCTTGCGCCTCCTCGTCGTCGAAGGTGAGCTCGGCGTAGGCGTCGACCGAGACCGGCGTCTTTGAGGTCCGACTGCCCTGCTCCTCGTCGATGAACCGCCTACACAGCTTGTCGGCGTAGCCCTGCAGGTGCAGCCACAGCTTCCTCGCCGATCTGTCGCGCACGATCTCCAGCCCGATGTACTTCTGCACCGGCAAAATCTCCCGCAGCTCGAAGGCGGCCTCTAGCAGCTCCTTCAGCATCTCGGTGCTGCTGCTGGCGGCAAGCAGGTCGTCGACGTAGACCAAAACCCAGTAGGCCACCTTGTCGGCGCCGACCTTGCAGTAGAGAGCCTCGTCGACCTGGCTCTTCTTCCAGCCAGCGTCGACCAGCACGTCGTTGAGTGCCTTGTACCACAGCAGCGGCGACTGCTTTAGCCCGTAGAGGCTCTTCAGAAGCTTGCACATCCGGCCGGTCCCGTCGTTGAAGTGGTCCGGCTGGTACATGTAGAGCACGCGGTCGAGCTTGCTTTGCAGGAAGGCGTTCTTCATGTCGAGCTGCATCAGGTTGAAGTCGAGGACGACGAGGATGCTGAGAAAGGTCCTCAGCGTGACGTAGCTGCTCACCGGCGCATACTTCTCGTCGTAGTCGGCGCTATACACCTGCGTGAAGCCCTTCACGACCAATTGTGCCTACTCGCGCTCGACGGTGTCGTCGATGCGGTACTTCGTCGTCAACACCCACCGGTTCTTCATAATGTTCACGCCGGGTGGGCGTTCGACCAGCTCCCAAGTGCCCATAGCGAGGAGGCTGCGGATCTCCTCCTCCATGGCGGCCTTCACCGCCGGACCCTTCCAGCTCGCCAGCGCTTCCTTCACCGACATCGTGGAGATGTCCCAGCGGTGCTCGGGGTCGGCATGCATGTCGGGGTCGAGCTCGGGTAGGTCGTCGTCGTCCTCGGCGTCGTCGTACGCCAGGTCGGCATCGTCGACGTCGTACACCGTGGTGAAGGCAGCGAGGACAAAGAAGTCAGGCGGCCTCCGCAGTCGGCCTGTCCGACGTGGCCCGCCCTGGACTTCCACCACGTCACTGTCGGTGGACTCCTCGGCTTCCTCTCCATCGTCACTGTCGTCGCTGCTCTCAGCGTCTGGCTGCACCACAGTCGGCGTCCTTGCCGACTCCTCCCCTTCGGTCGGCTTCCCTGTAGTCCGCCCGGTCACCGACTGCTCCGCGGTCGGTTTCAATGCTGGCTGCTCCGCGGGCTCCCCTGTCGCTTCCTCC